GTGGCAGTATTGACTTCTACAGCAACTGTTATTTGTTCTTAGAAGTGACAGTATTGACTTCTACAGTTTGCTGCAAATATTTGTTCTTAGAAGTGATAGTATTGACTTCTACAGCAACTGTTATTTGTTCTTAGAATTGATAGTATTGACTTCTACAGCAACTGTTAATTGTTCTTAGAATTGATAGTATTGACTTCTACAGCAACTGTTATTTGTTCTTAGAAGTGACAGTATTAACTTCTACAGCAACTGTTATTTGTTCTTAGAAGTGACAGTATTGACTTCTACAGCAACTGTTATTTGTTCTTAGAAGTGACAGTATTCATTCTACATCCCTATGTCAATTCCAAGGTGTCTTTTTTGTGTGTGGGTTGGGTGGGGGAGGGGGGGGGGAGAGGCCTATATCCCTTCTAACAAGTATGTTGTAAAAGATGTCTAATTAGGTTTTTTTCTTTGAAGTCTAAGTGCATCTGTCTGAGAAGTCAGGAACCAACAGTCTGTATATGACTAGTCCAGATATGTAAAACAGATGCATGTGTAAAACTTAAATTCTACAACAAGACTAAAGTCAGAAGGGGGTGGACACCAGCCAGAACTTTTTGCCTGATTTATAGCTGGTGAACGCAAGAAGAAGAAGTATATATGAATATTTTACCTCACAGCATTTTCATTCTTCTTTTCGTCTGCTTCTGTTCTAGCAGTATCTACAGGGAGACATTGTTGTCGCATCTTAGCTGCTATATTTGAGAGCTAACAGTATTTGTGATACCTGCAAGTATTAATGGTGTTGTGTAATATTATGTTATGGCAGGTTTTTAAGTCTGAAGACAGTTAGAAAGTGTCAATATGTCCCTCTATGGTATCTCTAGCTTGTTCATAAATGAATTTCTTGGGGGAATAGTTTGCACTTGTCTTCCAAACCACACCTGAGATGTAACCGTTATAAATATGTTATTGTAGGCTTTTGTTTGAATTAATCAAGGGCAGCAGCTGCCTACAGTATGCTTATCATAATTTCAAACTGTTGAAGGATAGATAACATCAGTTATGCACATGGGTTCTCAAAGTATTCAGAAAGGTTAGACAGTTGACCCAGCCCATGTAATGTATTCAGAAGCAGAGAATAGTAGGGCTATGATGTCACACAGGTGACTGAGAAGGGTTAGAATAAAACAGGCTACCTCATCCCATAGAAAACATGAGCTGCGAAATCCACCCGATCATCAAACAAAGGCAGGGTGTGAGTAGATAAAGGCCCACACTCCATTGGGAAATAAAATGTGGAGAAAAGAATGATAATATTTCTGATCCTCTTACAAGCTGAAGTAACCATCCACACATTATTTTATCGTGTAACTTGTTTTAGATTTAGATTTTGAACCTTTTAAACCATTCCACCATCTTTGCAGAAAGAAACAAGATGTAATAGTTTCAGTATAGTCAGTAATTCCATTGTCTTCTATACTAATGATCATAATATTAGAGTTGCAAAGTGCTGTTTTTATGACATTTGTGACTTTAAACCTGATTGAAAAGTATTTATTTATATTGATTTACCTTAAAATGCTAATTTACTACAGTGTTGTGTGTGTGTGTTTTTTAGGCACAAATGGCCACACTATTTTTAATGATATTAAAGAATTGCAATTGTTGTTTGTAGGTTTTTTAATTTTTTTTTAATCAATTTTTCTAGAAGCTTTAATCTCACATTACAGTACTATTTATTATTTGAGGATAACTTTTATCAGTTAAAGTTACATTCTAGAGTTACTGAATATTTGCCTAATTCTTGCGGTGATGTTTGTCATATAAACTTAATGTTGTATTTTTAAAATCAAATAATAGGCTGTATGTGACATTTATCAATCAGCCTAGCATGTTCTCGTACTTTCCGAGGTGGCTTACATCTCCTATGTATCCAGGTGGCTCAAATCTCCTGTGTATCCAGGTTTATTTCATCTCCTGTGAATCCAAGTGGCTTACATCTCCTGTGTATCCGGGTGGCTTACATCTCCTGTGTATCTAGGTTTATTTCATCTCCTGTGTATCCAAATGGGTTACATCTCCTGTGTATCCGGGTGGCTTACATCTCCTGTGTATCCAGGTGGCTTACATCTCCTGTCTATCAATGTGTGCTTTATCTCCTGTGTATCCAGGTGGCTTACATCTCCTGTGTATCCAGGTGGCTTACATCTCCTGTCCTGTCTATCCTAATCCGCTACTCGGTCAGCTTGCTGCAAATATTTATAAGCATAATAGAAATGATCATGAAGGTAAAATTTTAAATAAAAAAATTACAGCTATGTTATATTAACTTATTTTCCCCATGTCTACTTTTTTATACATCTTTTGCTCAGAGGGACGGGGTTTTTGTGTGTGCACGATAGCTTGGGCTCAATGAGTTAACGTACAAATTCTTTACAGTCATAACAACATCTTTACAGTCATAACAACATCTTTACAGTCATAACAACATCTTTACAGTCATAACAACATCTTTACAGTCATAACAACATCTTTACAGTCATAACAACATCTATACAGTCATAACAACATCTTTACAGTCATAACAACATCTTTACAGTCATAACAACATCTTTACAGTCATAACAACATCTTTACAGTCATAACAACATCTTTACAGTCATAACAACATCTTTACAGTCATAACAACATCTTTACAGTCATAACAACATCTTTACAGTCATAACAACATCTTTACAGTCATAGCAACATCTTTACAGTCATAACAAAATAACTTTCTTTCAGTTTGCAATGTGTGTTAATTTAACAGTTGTAATATATTAGCACTTGTCTTGCTTGAAAATGTGCATCTGAATATTGAAATGTAATACTGTACAGTTTTTTTAAGCATAAGAAATAACACAGTGAAGTTATATAATAAAAGTAAGAAATTTGACCCTGTTCAGTTCATTTGTAGATGAGAAATCCTTGGGCACTGTTCAGTGCATTTATAGACAAGTAATGTAACAATACTCATTGCTTTTATGGATATGAAATGTAACATTGTGAATTTAATTTATAATTCTAGTATGCTGTCCCATATGTCCATATTTGTAATGAATATTTGATCCACATGTAAATCGCATACCAGAAATCACTTGCCAAGACAGCAACACTTTTTTTTTTAACCTTCAGTAGGTGAAAATCCTTTGCCAAACCAAGGATTAAACCCTGGATCCTCAACATAATGTGTGTTTTTTTTTTTTTTTTTTTGCGGTTCCGTGAAAATTTGTGCCTAGAACCAACGGTCTGCATACAAATAAGCCAGATCTCTCATTCAGATGTGTATGCAGAAATAAAGTTCTTGAGGAACAGGACTAAAAGTCCAAAAAAAATATGAACAACCAGAACTTTCCATCGGAGTTTACAGCTGGTGAACGCAAAGAGGACGGAGAATGCAGTAGATTAACTGCTAAAAAAGAAGCTGCAGCAGTGTGGTGGCTAATCCTTTGCTGACTAGATGGTCTAAGAGCATCAAGATGGATTTCGTTTCCAAAAATAAACTTTGTTTCTCAGGCCGATCCAGCCCCAAATGGGTACCAGGTAATGTCCCAGGAAGTCAAGTCGACCAGCGAATTTTGGCTATATTACCCATCAAGTGCTGGTTGGTCTATAAAAATATCGATCTAGCATTATATGCTAATGAGTTTAAGGCATAAAAAGGGATCATCACTTTTACTGCTAGAGTAGCATAATGCTTGAATCATTGACAACACTTGAATCATTGACAACACTTGAATCATTGACAACACTTGAATCATTGACAACACTTGAATCATTGACAACACTTGAATCATTGACAACACTTGAATCATTGACAACACTTGAATCATTGACAACACTTGAATCATTGACAACACTTGAATCATTGACAACACTTAAATCATTGACAACACTTGAATCATTGACAACGCTTGAATCATTGACAACACTTGAATCATTGACAACACTTGATATATTCATGTAATACATGTAGTCAACTGACATTTGACCGAGTCTGTTGTAGATTTGTCACAAGTTCATAGTAATCACTTTCCATGTTTGTTTGCTACAGGAGTTGGTTGTTGTTCTGTTTTGTCATAGGTATTGCTCCAGTATTAAGTGCCTGGCTGTTCCATGTCTTAGTTTGTATTTTCTTCTCACTGTCTCATATATTTTACTTAGTCTTATACATAATTTTAGAATACAACTGAAAGCTGAAGGGCCAGATTGAAACAAATTACAGATGATCAACACTGCACTTTTCCATTTGAATCATTCCACACCTATCTATCTTGTGGCAGCATGAGCAGAAACATGTCAAGAAAAGTTATTTTGTAACTACTTTCTGTAGAAACTCATACATATTTATTTATGACAGTTGGCTTCAGCTGTACATAATACATTTGTATTTCCTCAACCAAAGGATAAATTTATTTGATGATATAAACATATACTATCTGCTGAAAACACATTATGTTCATGAAGTCATATGTTATGTCTGTGATCTCACATTAAACTACTGCATTTTTTTTTCTTAGATCATGTGTTATGTTTGTTGAAGTCATGTTTATGTAATGTGAAGACTCCTTGCAAATTTTAAATATAAGCTTATGTAATCATTCTGTCGATAAATAATAAACAGCTACATGAACAATCAGTAAGATGGTTGCCTATTATAGGAGTATTATAAGAAAATGTATCTAAAAGTTTCGGAACTGGTATAAATATATTACAGCTTGGAACGTTCAAAGCTGTCTGTCTGTCTAGCATAATCTCTGTCATTAAGTTTTGGGATAAGGGCTTATGCATATTTTTATGCATGGGGGTGGGGGGTGGGGGCCTAAAATCAGATGCTTTTGGGATGTTTTTTTTAATGACCAAAATAAATATGGTGAGTAGTTTAAAGTTAATGCTTTTATACTGTACTCAAAGATGAGATTTTTCTTTTTAAAATGACCTATTGCTGTGTGTTGATGAATGTAAATAACGCCCGCTCATGTTAAGCATAATCTGCACGCTTTTTTTTGGTATGTATATTTGTGACTCTTTACCCTTTTGCCTCGAAATCCCTGTAAAAATATTACATAGAACCCAAGATTCCTGAGAAAACCGTTAGAAAAAATCGCCATTTCACATAGTCTTAAAAGAGAACTTGCTGCAACTGCCCTGGTAAAACTAGAGGAAGAAAAGAAGAAGAATTGGGGAGTCCAAGTCAATTATCGTGGGGTTGAAGATGGAGGTTACAACGTATGACAACCGAGCAGACAGACATGAACACTATCCTCTACAAATTGAATTATCGTGGTATAATGATTGAATTTTCTAAAGACATTTTGTTCACAGTAAAAGTCACATACGGTAATTATTAGTAAATATATTCATAACCACCCTATCCAAAACTACACTTTAGTTCAACAGCCATTACATCGGCATATCGGGCACTGGCTAATGTGGCCATGCCATAATTGTTCTCACTGGGGTTTGTGTACGGAGGCAAGGGCGAAAATTCAGCATCTCGAGGGGAAAGGGTTCAACTCACACCCACAGGTATTCTGGTGATCGTGCACACAAATTTTATAACATGTATTTTAGATCACATAACCCAGCTGTCAGGCTGTAGAATGAATGTGTGTAGAGAGTTCTGTACATAAACATTTATTTAATTTGAAATGTGTTGTTGTGATGCACGGCGTGTCAACTAATTTAATATATTTGTATTAAAGTTAGTTGTGTATCCTTTACATGAGTTGCAGAACCAACCCCAGCATTGTTTTTGGCTGTTGTGGTTTTTCTAGGCAAGTTTATGTCCAGCAGGTCGCCATTGCTTTCTGGACGGTCAGCTTCTCGATACCTCTGTCGAAACCAGCGCAAGGCCCACAGCTGGGATCGAACCCTGTACCCCAGCAATACGAAGCGCGTTCGCAAAGCCTAAGCCACAGGCGCCGACATATATTTTCATTACATCTTGATATTATTAATTGTCATCATGAAGTAAGTTGCATTTAAATGTGATGACAAGCCTGTGGTTCATGACTTCAGTCTTGACAAGGATTGTTTCAAGCTTGCGTTTCCTCATCTTTGTCCCAAGTCTGCCTTTAAGGCAGCCGGTTTGTTTATTTCTGGTTGTACTTTGTCTTACTCTTTGCATGATTGTTAATCTTCTTCTTCTTCTTTTGTTTGGTGGAAATAGATTATCTATATCTGCAAGTCTGTCTTTAGTATGAACTTCACTGTCTGTTGTAATTTGGTCGGCGATCCGTAAAGTTTGGTTAGCAACGGTGTTTCTCATGGCAGAAATGTTTGCCTTGATATTTTGTACCTGGTACAGTTATAGGTGCCAATCCACATGTGCACATGGCTGATTCACCAGTCTTAAATTCTCTGTGCATGTGGTTGCAACGTCAATTGTGTCCTGTTCTAAGGCATAGCATAATGACTTGCTCACGTTTCTCCATTATATGCTAATCATCTTTTGCCAGTTTTGGTGGCTTTCTGATTGATTTGATTATTTTCTTCTGTCGATAAGAGACGTACGTCAGGTTGTTCTTCATTTGCACCTTTCTTGGATAGTTTATCAGCTCTTACATTTTGGGAACTCCACAGTGGGATGGGATCCATTGCATGTTACCATACACCGGTTGCCCAGTTTAGAGAGTAGTTTCCGAATACATGGTAATATTCCAGATTCGATGCCTAAAATACCACTCTTGCATCTGTCAGGAATACAACGGGTTGTGAAAAACAAATGATTGTTAATAACACCATTGTGATGTGACTCATGTTGGGATAATTTCAGTAAGCTCCTGTAGTCTCACCCTATGTAATAGTTCCTATCAGCCACTCCAGTGTATTCCTGTTTGAGGTGTTATGTAGGCCACCATGTTTAGCACTACATCAGCATGTATTTTGGGAGACCTCCATGGTAAAATTATTAAGACAATTGTCTTGTATTTCGAAGGTTATGGGGTTCATCTGGACCCTGTCTTCGGCTCATGGATGCAGTGTTTGCTGGAGCTCCTAAGTTCATGTCTTGTGCAATCCTCTCAGGTGACTAGGTATTCTGCGCAGAAAGACTTGGCCATACAAGAGAAAATCACCACAATAAAGTCAGCAGATTCCATGGATGATTCATCTTTGATTAAATATCCCGTGATCCTGTGAGGAATATGCCTGCTGAGCTGGTCAGTTCTTGTGTCAAACATCTCTTTTCTGAGGATGTGCCTATTATTTCCTTGGTGACTCATTTTCGATGGACCAAGGATGTGATTAGACCTCTGGTCTCCTTTTCTTACAGATGCATTTATTTGTGGCTTTCTATGACTTGTCGAATTTACAATCACTATAATAATGAAGGTGAATTCAGGAAAGGTGAAGAAACAAGAGAAATGCTGGGTAACTACTGTATCAGCATTTAAGACAAAACAGATGGCACTCTATTGTTCACAGCCTGAGATAAAGAAGCTGTTAACAGGCGAGTCGAGTGAACTGAAGATTGAGGACGTCTGACCGGCCCTAAAACAGACATTGATGGGATAGACCAGAGAGAATAGACTGGACTCATGATGTCGAAAGGATTGCACACAGTGGAATGGAATGAAGGAATAGACTGTAAGTTCTCTGCGATATATAATGGTACAACAGGGTTCAGTGATAGCCCAGTGTCGGTATAAATATGCTGTTTATAATCTGTTTCTTAGCAGTTATGTTTGGATGTCTTAATAACAGCATTAGTTGATATACAAGTGCATTATTAACATTTGCAATGTCTGATTAAATTTGGTTGGCAAAAACAAACTGGGTGTTTTCAGATGTGCACAGATTTTTGTGTAACCTATTTTTATTCGCTTTTTAAAGCACGTTGAAGATTTTTACATTTAGATTACAAGTAAGATTTTGAGTGCTTCTAGGGTAATTTATGGAGTGTTTACAGGGAGTTGATCACATAACGTTGATTTCAGTTTGATCACATGAAATGTTTTATTTGACAGTGATACTAAACCTGTTTGTTAGACCAATCAGCACTCGACAGCTGATATGGTCACCATTATGTCAGCCATCTTTACTTCCCAGGACATTACCTGGTACCCATTTTAGGCTAAGTCGACCTGGGAGCCAAGGTCAATTCTGGACAAATAAGCCTTAATGCGGATTTGAACCCAAGACCTTTGGCTTGAAAGACGAGTGCCATTGTAAAGTAAAAACTTGTGACACTAATACCTCATTTTGCAAATCATTTCAAGACAGTTTAACATTGTTTTAAAAATGACGCATAGAATAGCATCAAACTATACATATTGGAAACTTTTTTTTTTTTTTAAAGGTTTTTTTTTTTTTTGAAGATTTTTGTCTAAATTGCAGTGCAATTGTTTTTTGTTTTTGTTTTTTGTTTACATTTTCTGTACCCGGCAGAAGTTACTGTAACTTGTATTGTAATAAATTGCTACTAAAATAATAGTTTAGGTCACATGACCATAGATAACTCTGGTTTTCCCCCCGCTTTTCACCCCGTCTTGGGCACTTGAGATTTTGTAGGGAGTCTTAGGGAGTACCCAGACACTCCAGGGAATAAAGGGGGTTAGGGTTAGTGTTAGTTAGAGTTCATTTAACACTAACCCTCAAACTCCTGTATCCTAGGGGTGACATCTGTTGGTTGTTGTCAGTTTCTTCTTCGTTTATTGCATCATCATGTCCAAAGTGTGTCACTTTTGTTGATTCATCTCATCACCACTGTGCCCTGCTTGGAATCAGTGTTCTTACTTCGTGACATGAATTTCCATGACCTGTCAGCATTGTTGCATCGAACCCTAACCCACCAGTACCCACATGAAGAGACTGTCGGTCCTTTTCAGGGCCCTCACACACCAAATCGCCCTCCTTAGGTCACTGGTTCAAGCCCAACTTTGCGGGTCGCTGAGTAAATTACATAGGACTGTGAGCTTCATACTAGAGACAACACTGCAGATAATCTATTTCAGGCAAGCTGAAGAAGAAGAAACTAATGCTGCTTCCCCCCCCCCCCCCCCCTCCCCCACAGACACACACACTATAGAACTGTCCGGAGGGAACCCTCTAGGAACTCCCTACCAAATCTTGTAGCCTCTGGAAGGGTGTGAAAAAGCGGAAAGGAACCTTTGTTCTTTTAGTATGTTTAATGAATTCATTTCTCCATAAGCAGGTGCAGGGCTGTTAAGGACAGACAAGTCGGCAAGTATGGGATCTGCGACATCAGCACCGTCAACAACAGAATATAAGTATTCTTAGCAACTGAGTTTTTCTGCATTCACTTTTAAAATGGTTGTTGACAAATTTTGTTGTGGTTTACAGCTAGGCTGTGATATCTGTACCTTTCAGCCCAACAATTCTTTTTTTTCCCCCACCAGATTAGTCATTTATTATGACATTTTTGTTAAAGGACAGTTGGTCTGTTCAATTTTTTCCTCAAAACTGGACATGGAACTCACTCGGGGAACTGAGTTGGTAATTCAAGTTTTCAGATCCTTACTTTACAGCTTAGCTAAACTCATTTGATATCAGACATTGACATCTGTGACCCGTGTATGTGTGACTCGTGTATGTGTGCTGTCATTGTTGTGATGGTGTTTCTTTGATGCAGTGAGTCCCCTATTGAAATCAGTGTTCATAAAGATGATTGTTTTTTTTACTGTTTCCTCTTAGCATTTTGTATTTATTTGTTTGTGTGTGCGTGATGTCATGACTGAGTTATTTGTTGCACTATGTTCTGTAGTAAATATATGTGCCTACATGCCGTCACAGATAGTGAAACCTCTGACATAGTTCTGGCGACACATATAACAATACAGCTGATAACAGTTGCATGATAACACCTTAGAAAACACCACAGATGTCTCACCTAATGACTGACAACAGTATAGTTAACACATGTAATTAACTCTCTGACATCATCATAGATGACACATCTAATGATAAACACAGATGATACATCTCAGAAAACAGCATAGTTAACATATCTTATGATACCATAGCGGTTTTATCTCATGATACCATAGATGAAACAGATAACACCATAGTTCACACATCCAAAAATGTGTCAGATTACAACAGAGGGGTGTAATTCATTTTCTCTGAAACACAATATCCAGACACTTTTATAGAGGTGTAGCCCATGCAGTACGATTAATCTCTCAGTTTGCCTTGTTTAATCCAAAGGAAAGGTAGCACCAATACATCTAGAACAAGGCATGCTCAGAAGCTGCTGGATCACAAGAGCAGAGCAGAGTTCCTTCTGCCCACTTGTTGTTTATTTCATAGACAAGGTGCCAACCAAGTCGAGAGTCTGTTCTGCCCTGCCACAACATTGTTTTCAGACTGCATTTTCTCATCCTTGCATAAATAAGGCTAGTTTTCTCCATAGTGCACTTCTCCGTCTGAGTCGTGGGATGGTGGTTTTTTTAAAATGCCGTCTATCATTCTGTGATAGTAGTGCCGCTACTGTTATACAGTAGCTCAGTCTAATGTCTAAAACTAAAACAAACAAAACTTACTGGAAAAGTATATTTTCTCTCATCTATGATAATAATTATTATTCCTAATGTTGGAAAATCTCCTAATACCATAGATATATCAATGTTTTCTTGTGTGTGTGTTTTAATTTTGGTGGGGGCGGGAAAAGATTACACTAAATACCAGGCTTACCCCGAAGTCAAACTCAACAGGCATACAGACACAATGAAATGAAAATAAAAAGTGGAGGAGCCAGTACAAAAACATGAAAGCCAGCCTACACTGGATAAGGTAGGCCTGTTATGGATTATGCCTCAATCTTATGACAGAAGCAGCAAAAATTAACAATTTTAACTTAAACAAGGTTCAAGGATTTTTTACCCCACCAGGACATCACACAAGCGATAAACACCCGATGACACAAAGTGCCACCATGCGGATGAGGATCACCGTAGAGAGGTCCCAGAAACCGCGTTCAGACATTTGGCCATAATGATGACCTGCCTATATTGCGGCCCCTGGCAAAAGCCAGAGTGGAGCTTCAAATAACAAAAAAATAACGTCCTAAGAAGGACGAAAAGCAGTAATGAAAAACAAGGTTCAAAGTATAGTTTACAAATAACACATGGCGCAGTTTTTTAACTAAACATACACATCAAATTGAGAACACTTAATTGGAACACCTTGGATTTCATAAGCAGTTCAAATTTCTGACTTAGTTTGTCAAACGTGAGAGACTTCCAACCATCTGTTGACCCACAGATTTTAAGAAGTAATGACTGTTTTAAAAAGAAAGAAAAAAGATGAATCATTTTGAAAGAGAAAGGTTTAAGGTTAAGACGACGGATCCACTTCGTACATACATACATACATACAACATACCTACATACATGCATACATACATACATGCATGCAGCATTCATGCATACATCACATACATACATACATACATACATACATACATACATACATACATACATACATACATACATACATACATACATACATACATACATACATACATACATACATACATACATACATACATACATACATACATACATACATGCATACATACATACATACATGCATACATACATACATGCATACATTGATGGATTGATACATTTACTTGAAGTCGGATATGCAAATACTGGATATCTAATTGGGGGGAAAAGAAACAAAAGAGCTCAAATACAACAGTTACAGTTTTTATTTCTCAAGTAAATTGTATGGTCGCAGTCTGTCTGGAAGGGCTAGCATGTCTGGCTAAGGAATTTGTATATTGGTGGCTCAAGGGTTGATATTTTGGGTGAAGGGTTTCCATGTTGGCTAAAAGGTTGGTTGGCATGTTGTTATGGTAGCTGGAATTCACTGTCTGTCGCAGTCTGTCTGGACTACTATCATAGACTTTAACCTGTGATTGTGGATGAGAAAAGTGAAGCTTGTTAATAAGTATTGATGTAGGCGTTTTGTGTTATAACAAGAGGAACTGACCTATTAAGCTTTGTCGGTTTTTTTTCCCTTCAACATTGTGAGCCGTCCTTTTGGTTTGCATCGTGGTCTACACCCCTCAACATTTAAAAAAAAAAATTATTTACAGGAAGAAATTAACGGATAACATTACCACATATATATTTATATATACATTATACACACACACACACATATACACATACACACACTAGCAGTACCCGCCACGCGTTGGTGTGGCTGAGCCTGTCGAAAAGGAAAATACAGAAAATAACGCACGTGTCTAATGTGGTTAATATCAGTCATTGCACAGATACAGAGATAGTCTGGTATGCCGACTCTAGAACACGCACAGATAGTCTGGTATGCCGACTCTAGAACACGCAATATATAAGTGTCTAATGTGGTTAATATCAGTCATTGCACAGATACAGAGATAGTCTGGTATGCCGACTCTAGAACACGCAACATATAAGTGTCTAATGTGGTTAATATCAGTCATTGCACAGATACAGAGATAGTCTGGTATGCCGACTCTAGTCTAATGTGGTTAAACACGCATACATATAATGTCTAATGTGGGTTAATATCAGTCATTGCACAGATGCAGAGATAGTCTGGTATGCCGACTCTAGAACACGCAATATATAAGTGTCTAATGTGGTTAATATCAGTCATTGCACAGATACAGAGATAGTCTGGTATGCCGACTCTAGAACACGCAATATATAAGTGTCTAATGTGGTTAATATCAGTCATTGCACAGATACAGAGATAGTCTGGTATGCCGACACTAGAACACGCAACATATAAGTGTCTAATGTGGTTAATATCAGTCATTGCACAGATACAGTCTGGTATGCCGACTCTAGAACACGCAACATATAAGTGTGTGTTTATATTAGTGGTCGCTTAAAGTGCATTGTTATTGTAAAACCCCCCCCCCCCCAGATTACTTGCTAAAGCATCTTTAATGTTTAAACAGCTGAAAGTAAAGCTGACTACTATACCTCTAAATGGCCAATAAATGCACACCCAAAATGTGAATATCAGAGGACGCGGTATTAAAGGTTAAATTGTTAAGAAATGAGAACCATAAAATAATGTTTTAAGCTCTCTCAGCTACCAGTGTCTGTCATAAACCTCCCCCCCCCCCCCTCTCTCTCTCTCTCTCTCTTTCTCTCCTCTCCCCCAATCATATCTCACTCTCCGAAGGATTTGAAAATTCTTACCTGACGAAATTATTAATATATAAATAGTTAAGAAATAAGAACTTTAAAATAATATATTAAGCTCTCTCAGCTAACAGTGTGTGTCATCAACACCCCCCTCTCCCCTCTCCCAATCATATCCTTCTCTCCGAAGGATTGGAAATTCATCACCTGACGAAAAATAGTAATTAAATTGAGCTTGGCATCTGTGTGCACCCAGACTAAAATGGGTAGCATTAATCTGTACTGGGAAGTAAATGTGGCAAGCGTAACAGCTACAACATTACCCATCGAGTACCAGTACTACTGCTACCGCCACCACCTTCACAACGACAAACAATAAAACTGTCACTACTGTCGGTGTAGCCAGATGATTTAGCGCCAGGTGGCTAATACTGTCGCCAATAGTTTAATTGTGCACCCCTATTTACAACAACAACAAAAACTCCATCCCCTTACCAGTGATCAAAAGCACAGTAATATTCCGTGATGAGAAAAAAGTACACGATATTCAGAAAAAGCGGAAATAAAAAGCCGCCTTGGAGAGGGACGATTTTTAATTGACCTTGGCTTCCTTTTTTACTTTAACTAAGTGGACTTTAGGCTGTCTTAGTAAACAGTGTCTGTCATTAACGAATAGTTTATGACCCAGTGAAGCGTCGAGGGAAGACTAATTGGTACTGTGCTGAAATCCGATGTGATGATCGAAGCCTATATCTAAACCACAAGACAACGTGCCAACCACCCTCTCAAGGGCAAACAAAGAGAAAGATTACCCGTGACATGACCATTGAGCATCTCGACGCTGCTATCGCAGGCTAGCTCTAAACCACAAAAACAAGCGAAAAAAATTCGCAGATATCGCAGCCTAGCTGTAAACCACAACACAACGTGGAAGCCGCTCTGTTAAGGGCAACAATAAAATTATATCACCCGCGTGACAGGCGGATTCCTTACAACTACGCTACCAAAGACTGAAGAACTTGGTAGAAATGAAATTATATAACAAAGCGAAGTTCAGTGTTTCACACATAGTCAAAGGTGGCCAATCAACTAAAAACAAATCCATGCCGGCAACAAAACAAATAATGATTTGATCGTTGCTGGAGCTACGTCATTCGTGGTTTGTGCAGCACTCATACATACAAACACGCGCAAAGTCGAACGCATCGTTGTGTGAAAATTTGAAAGCAATCAGTTTGGTAGTTTCCGTACTATGGGTAACTAAAACGGAAAATTAACATGTTTATTAAAATAAATACGCACACATACATATGTACATATATATGTATGTATGTACGTATATATATAGATATATATATATATATATATATATATATATATATATATATATATATATACATAGGCCCTACATATTTACTCATATACATACATGTATATATATATATATATATATATATATATATATATATATATATATTTATATATATATATATATATATATAATAGAACCTCGCTTAACGAGCACCTCTCATAACGAGTAATTCGCATAACGAGCAAAACAAATTGTAAAAAATGACTCGCTTAACGAGCGACGTTTCGCATAACGAGTGGCGAGGAGAGAGGAAGTCCCGGATTTTGCGCATGTTACATCAGTCTGTGTTTAGCACTAGTTCCAGTAGTATTGTCGCTTGTGATCACATATTTTCTCAAACTTGTGATACATTGTGATATATGTACATGAATCCTCCAGGCCTACAGGATGACCTTCCTGCTGAATTTAAGTTAATTAAGATTCAGTTTCTGCCTCCCAACACCATTCCGTTACTCCAGCCCACGGACCAGCAAATTATTTCTAACTTTAAGAAGCTCTACGCTAAAGCACTCTTCGAGCATTGTTTTCAGGTGACTGAAGGGACCAACCTCACTCTCAGAGAGTTTAGAAAAAATCACTTCTACATCGTTGCCTGCCTCAAGATGGCCGACAAGGCGGAGGAAACTTCTTCTTGGATGAAGCTTTGGCTGGAGAGTATTCTCGATTTGTGACTTTGAGGGGTTCGAGACAGTACCTGTGGAACCTGTAGTCAACGAGATTTGTGTCTTTGGCCGCTATCATGGGATTGTAGGTGTATAACAGTGATATCTAAGAGCTTGTGGAAGAGCACAGCCAAGAGCTGACCACCCAAGAGCTTATGGCGTTGCATTGTGTTTTACAGCAAGATGTTTTGGAGAAAAGTTTGTCAGAGGAGGAGGAGGAAGAGACGGTAACAGAAAAGCAACAATCTTCTGGCGAAATAAGAAAAATTATGAAAGCATGGGAAACTTATGCTTCTCACATTGAGAAGCATCACCCTAATAAAGAAATGGCTATGCGCGCTGCAAATTTAATGATAATGCTGTTTTGCATTTTCGCCAAATTCTGAAGCTTCGACAAAAACAAATGTCTTTAGACATCTTTCTAGTAAAAAAATATATATATATATATATCTATGTATCATAATTATTTCGACTTTTTTTTCTGCAAATCGAATTCGCATTCCATGTGGGTTCGTTCCGCGTTTGAAGAAAAGATGAAGATGTTTCACTCTCCTTAACAATATGTTTATAATTTTCTTGAAATAAACGTTGTACATAGCATTTTGTGAGTATTTTTTCGACATGGAACGTATTATCGTATTTTACATTAATTTATATGAGAAAAATTGTTTCGCATAACGAGTGTTTCGCTTAACGAGCGTGATTCTGGAACGAATTATGCTCGTTAAGCGAGGTTCCACTGTATATATATATATATAATATATATATATATATATATATATATATGATTATATATATATATATATATGTATGTATATGTGTAAATAATTGCATGTGTGTGTATGTATTAGGTTAGTTGGGTTATCATTCATTGCACTCCGACATGTCCATAACTGATGCTCAGATCCTCCCCTCAGTATGAACCCCAACGTCCGATGGCTAATAGTACAAGTTCTATATTGACTAACAAGTCGTCTGGTGTGCGTCTCGTTTTTTGCTATGCCGATCTTAATTCCCAAGTCTGCCATTCTGGCGAGTGATGTGGATTCACTGCCACCAAAGTCCTCTATCCTTCCCATTTCTCTGAGGACATTAATAATATCAGCAAGATCCATAGGCTGACCGTCGGTAGTGATAGCGGATCCAGCCAACCTGTCAGCTCTTTCATTTCCATCGACGCATGTGTATGTATGTATGTATGTATGTATATATATATATACATATTATATATATTGATAAATTATATATATTGATATATAAGAACAGAGGGAAGGAGTAATTAGGCAGATACAAATACATACATCAGAAAAAGTTTAAAGTGACATACGGCAGTTGCTTTCGTCCCATCCATCTCTGCAATCATTATCACCATCACAGACCCAGGATTCTTCAATGCACAGGTTGTTATCACACTTGACTTCCCCACCTGAGCACGCAAGTGCAGCTGGCAGGAGAGAAGATTGGTCAATATTATCATTAGAGATTTTCTTTGAAAACTCGTTGGCCATAAGTCGCACATGTATATTCTGGGACATTTTTTTTTTTGTCTGCACTGTATGCAGTGCCGGCCGTTTGTTTAGGTAGTATTTTTTTTAACAGGGCTACTGTAACAGACTCTTTGTGATAAGCATCGGCACATTTTCTTAGACACTGTGTGAGTACATGTACCTTTTTCTAGAAAATAAACCCCTATCTACTGGTATGTTATCAATGGAACAGGTTTATTTACACCCATTATCGTCTTTTCTAAGAAACATGTTTGTCTATATCTGCTGTCATCTTTACTGTAGAACATGTTTGTCTTTATCTGATGTCAGCTTTTCTAACGAACATGTTTGTCATTATCTGCTGTCATCTTTTCTATAGAACATGTTTGTCTAAGTCTGCTGTCATCTTTTCTATAGAACATGTTTGTCTGCCTCCACTGTCATCTTTTCTATAAAACATGTTTGTCTAAGTCTGCTGTCATCTTTTTCTATAGAACATGTTTATCTGCCTCCACTGTCATCTTTTTCTATAGAACATGTTTATCTGCATCCACTGTCATCTTTTTCTATAGAACATGTTTATCTGCCTCCACTGTCATCTTTTCTATAAAACATGTTTATCTGCCTCCACTGTCATCTTTTCTATAAAACATGTTTATCTGCCTCCACTGTCATCTTGTCTATAGAACATATTTATCTACTGTTTCCGCTATCATCTTTGCAAGGATCATGATCAACAAAACCGTCATTGTATAGATGGGACAGATTTATTTACGTTTTTTTTTTTCATCTTATCTTTGTGTAGACGACAAAGATTATGGGGATACGTGTGAACTGACAGCATGTGCCAGTTTCGATGGAATGCAGAGAGAAAAAGACAGTTTTTTTTCCTCTTCTTCCAGCTCACCAGCTGTAAACCCCGGCGGGAAGTTCTGGCTGATCGTTCACCTCTGGGCGTTAGTCTGGTTCCAGAATCTCAGTGCTGCGTGCACATCAGTTTTACAGATCTGAATCATTTGCATACATATTGTTGATTCCTTGCCTCTCAGGCAAATGCACTCAGAAGTCGAAGGAAGCCCCGCCCCCAATAAGTCGACTCCTACGACATGCTTGATGTGAAGGCAGTGGGTTTTGTCTTGTTTTCCCCAAAGTTTAATCCCTGAATCCACACGTACCAGTTTTGATGACATGCAGACAGAAAAAGACAGACAGATAGTTTGACTATCAAAACGAATTGATGGACCTGCAAACATACGTTCAAACATATGTACAAACATACATACAAACATACGTACAAACATAGTACAAACATACGTACAAACATACGTACAAACATATTGATAGATTCTCAAATGCGACCAGAGGTACGAGTTTATATTTAAACACACGTAAGGAAGTGACTAAATATTACCCCAACAGGACATTACACAGAGCGATAAACACCCGGTGACTCAATGTGCCACCATACGGTTGAAGATCACCCGTGGAGAGGTCCCAGAAACCCCTGTCAGCCGTTAGGCCATATTTATGGCCGGGCTATATTCAGGACCCCCGTCAAAAGCCAGGGTGGGGCTTCAAATAACGAACAATTGCATCCGTATGGGGATGACTGATACCTTTGATCTAAACAAAAAGGCAACACGCACCCACCAAAAACACAAAGATATACAGACATTTAAGTAAATCAATAATGAATAAGTACTACAAAAGTGTTATCGGTTCTGTCCGTGGGAGCTTACCACAGTTAGTCTTATCGGTTCTTTTCATAAAATAGTTATAACAAGTCTGGTCAGTTCTATTTTCTTACAGAAACTAGTCTCATCGGTTGTATCTCAGTGAACTCTTACAGCCTCATCGAACGGTTTCATCGGCTGCATCTCGGGTAATACTTGCAACATATAGTCTCATCAGATGTATCTCAAGTAACACTTACAGACAATCAGTATCATCGCTTGTATCTCAGGGATCCCTTACAGCCTCATCGAACAGTCTCATTGGCTGTCCATCAGGGAACACTTACAGCCAGTCAGTCTAATCGGTTGTATCTCAGAGAACACTTACAACATCCAGTCTCATCTGTTATATCTCAAAGAACATTTACAACATCCCGTCTCATCAGTTATATCCCATGGAACACTTACAACATCCAGTCTCATCGTTTATATCTCAGGGAACACTTACAACATCCCGTCTCATCAGTTATATCTCAGGAAACACTTACAACATCTCGTCTCATCGTTTATATCTCAGGGAACACGTACAACATCCCGTCTCATCAGTTATATCTCATGGAACACTTACAACATCCAGTCTCATCGTTTATATCCCAGGGAACACTTACTACATCCCGTCTTATCAGTTATATCTCATGGAACACTTACAAACTTCCAGTCTAATCAGTTATATCTCATGGGACACTTACAACATCCAGTCTCATCGTTTATATCTCAGGGAACACGTACAACATCCAGTCTCATCAGTTATATCTCATAGAACACTTACAACATCTCGTCTCATCAGTTATATCTCATGGAACACTTACAACATCACGTCTCATCAGTTATATCTCAGGGAACACTTACAACATCCAGTCTCATCGTTTATATCTCAGGGAACACGTCCAACATCCAGTCTCATCAGTTATATCTCATGGAACACTTACAACATCCAGTCTCATCAGTTATATCTCATGGAACAATTACAACATCCAGTCTCATCAGTTATATCTCATGGAACACTTACAACATCCAGTCTCATCAGTTTTGTCTCCACAATCATCATCGCCATCACATTGGTACTCTCTAGAGATGCATATCCCGTTGTTGCACTTCAGCTGATGCTCCCCGGTGCAGTCAGTAGCTGGCAGGAGAAATACATTCACCAGTAATGATCGACACTCACAGAAGTAGAAGAAAGAGATATACAGTATATTAACGTTTTTATTTATTTTTTATTTTTTAAACACACACGATGTAGTAGGCAGATACAATGATTAACAGCAGGTTAAAACCTTCACATTAACAGGTTAAAATGTCTGTTCTGTGTGTTAGATAAATAATAGTATTGAATATTACTGACTATACTGCCAGATATATTCACTCTAAAGGACTCCTTTTAATGAATGTATGATACACTACAATGAGCCTATGAAAATAAAAAAGAATGCTGGAAAGAACAGTTTTCTTCAAACTATTGGATGCGACCCACCTTTGGGTCTAGATGGGAGGCGGAACAGTCTAGGTGGGCGGCAGACAAGTTTGGGGCCGACGGAACAGTCTGGGTGGGCGGCAGAAAAGTTTGGGGCCGACGGAACAGTCTGGTGCAGTGGAACAGTCGGAGGGTGGGCGGCAAAACAGTCTAGGGGCGGCAGAACAGTCTGGGGGCGGCGGAACAGTCTGGGGGCTGCGGAACAGTCTGGGTGGGCGGCAGAACATTTTGGGGGCTGCGGAACAGTCTGGGGGCGGCAGAAAACATCTGGGGGCGACGGAACATTCTGGTGCAGTGGAACAGTCAGAGGGTGGGCGGCAGAACAGTCTAGGGGCGGCAGAACAGTCTGGGGGCGGCGGAACTGTCTGGGGGCGGCGGAACAGTCTGGGGGCTGCGGAACAGTCTAGGTGGGCGGCGGAACAGTCTAGGTGGGCCGCTAAAGATTTCAGCCTTATTGTGTGGGGTTAGGTAGATTTTCCTTTCATGGGATTATAGTTTATAGATGAACACGCCAAGGGTGAGAACCAAACAAGTACACGTAACTTTCAACATAGGAAGACAGCATTTAAAAAGGCAGCTGAAAACGGTTACAACTATTTCCCTGAACACGAGGATCCGCGTAAGACAAATAATCCCTTCTATTAAATTACACAATCATGCACACTTGATTATCGTGGGGAAAAAAGAAAGGTTGGTCGAGTTGCCTTCTGATGTCACTCTTGTATCAAACATAAAACGCAATCAATGTCCAAGTTTTGGATATCACTCGAAAAGGAATATATTTGTTTGAGTTACACAGGTATTGTCAGTAAGTAACAAAACCATACAGAGAAATCAAATAAATGTTATGCAGCAATCTGTGTGTCAAAATCAATGCTCCAGCCACGTGTATAGATTTTCTAATCTCAAAGCCAGCTGTTCTCAACCATTTTTTTGGGGGTCTCCCGACCCTTTCACGGGGGTCGCCCGACCCTTTTATAGGGGTCGCCAAAGACCCTCGCAAAACACATATTCATAGAAGTTATGAACGAAAATAATTGTATGGTTGGGGTAGTTGCTGCCTAATAATTGTCGCCACAACACGAAGAACTGTATTCAAAGGTCACGGCGTTAGAACGTTTGAGAGCCACTGCTCTAAGCCATAGTAGCTGGAAATTGTATTTTGTGACGTTGGATTGAACAAATAAACTGACATCTACATTTGTGGTTGTTTTGTTTCTGTATTTGATTAGCTGCCAGATATCACACGAAACAATTTTCCCCGGTTTTGTGTGTGTGTGTGTGTGTGGGGGTGGGGGGAAGGGGGGTGTAAAAAGGCTGAGAAATACTGCTTTCGAGAACTGCATGGAAGTATTAAACAATACATCACAAGAACAGAGGTCAACATATGAGATGTCAATATATCTTTAGAATAAACAGCAGTCTCCTAGATCATTTTAATATTCAGAAAGATAAACTACACAAGATAATTACCATGCCTGCTTGAAAGTATATTTAAAATAGATAGAACTGACGGCTATCCCCCGAATTACGGCCACATATTATGGCGGCCAAAAAAACACCCTGACAGGGCCTCAGTCACATGTAAATTGCTATTTTCCGGTGACTTAAATTGCAGACCGGTGACTATACCGCCACCGCCGAAAAAATCTCCCGTGCCGCTACGCGCGGCTCGGAGGAGGGTTAAACTAGATGGCTGGGACTCACGAGCAGCAGCTTCCGCATCTCCTGCAGCTTTGCTCATGCGTCCCAGCAATCTAGTTTAGATACTCTCTGCGGTGGCGGTATAATCGCCGAAAGTGCGCAATTTACTGCTGCGGCTGAAACATGAAAATCTTCCTCGCTGCCTGAAATGGAGCAGTCTCATAACTTTACGAGGGTCGTGGTAGCACAGTGTCCAGACGTTTTCCTGTTCCCTAAAAGGCCGTGAGTTCGAATCCGAAACGATGTTAATTTTCATAACTACCCTAGGCCTCTCAAATCGAATCAGCTTAAAACTTCCCAGGAGACTATATATGTATATATATATATATATATATATATATATATATATATATATATATATATATATATGTATATATATATATATATTATAAACACCGTCTTCATCCTCCTTCCACTATAATAAACACTTTGTGTTGAGTACCTGCACCGTTTTAGAACTTTGTGTTCAGTATCTGAAACCTTTTAGAACTTTGTGTTGAGTATCTGAAACCTTTTAGAACTTTGTGTTGAGTACCTGAAACCTTTTAGAACTTTGTGTTGAGTATCTGAAACCTTTTAGAACTTTGTGTTGAGTATCTGCGCTGTTTTAGAACTTTGTGTTGAGTATCTGAAACCTTTTAGAACTTTGCGTTGAGTATCTGAAACCTTTTAGAACTTTGCGTTGAGTATCTGAAACCTTTTAGAACTTTGCGTTGAGTATCTGAAACCTTTTAGAACTTTGCGTTGAGTATCTTTAACCTTTTAGAACTTTGTGTTGAGTATCTGAAACCTTTTAAAACTTTGTGTTGAGTATCTGAAACCTTTTAGAACTTTGTGTTGAGTATCTGAAACCTTTTAGAACTTTGCGTTGAGTATCTGAAACCTTTTAGAACTTTGCGTTGAGTATCTGAAACCTTTTAGAACTTTGTGTTGAGTATCTGAAACCTTTTAGAACTTTGTGTTGAGTACTGGCATTGGAGGAGGGGGGGGGGGGACTGGACATAATCAACAAATGATTACTGTGTTGTTTAAATAACACATAGCGTTTTGTTTCCTCCATCATATACTGCGCAATACTTTGGATGTGGTATAAAGCATCTACACCAGCAACTCTGGTCTCTCTCAGCAATATTAGTCGTATGGTTTCTCTGTGACGATCTCGCTTCTCCAACCCATGATACGTCTAATACTTCATGGCTCACACGTTCACACTGAAATAATACATAAATGTGACCTACGGCATTTAAGTTCATCCGAGTTATCAGGACAGTCTTTCTCCGTATCACACCGCCAGTCTTCTTGGATGCACCAGCCGCTGCTGCACTGAAACTCTAACGGCTCGCACGCATCTGCAAACACGTGAAGCATAATAGTGGTTTAATAAGCAATAGAATAGGGTTCTCAATCTATCTAATGCCGCGACCCTTTAATGCAGTTCCTCTTGTTGTGGTGACCCCAAACATTCAATTATTTTCGCTGCTACTTCCTAACTTCAGTGAATATGCGTTTTCCGATGATCTTAGGCGACTCATCAGAAAGGATGGTTCGATCCGAACAAAGATCGCCATCCACAGGTTGAGAACCGCTGCAGAAGAGGGATCTTAGTTTTGAGTTAGAGTTAGGTTATCATCACAGAACTCCGGACGTGTCAGGTGGTTAACAGTGTCAGTCCTATGCAGGTTGACGACAAACAGGGCCGTCTTAATGCATGGGTCCTTTGAGTATTTGCTCGGACCGCCCACGGAACCCACCCCCCCCCCCCCCTTTTTTTTTTCTCTTGCCCTCCGAAATAAAAATATATTCGACGTTACAATTATTTAAATGTAATATACCACCGAAGTTATATATATATATATATATCCATCTCCCTCTCTCTCCCTTCCTCTCTCTCTCTCTCGCTCTCTCCGTATCCCCTCTCTCTCTCTCAAATATGGAACGTTTTTGAGGCTCATCCGATATTTTCTCATGTAGCAAATAATCTGGACGATATACTGGATTCATCTATATCCCCTGTGGTGGATAAAACATGAACTTAGTGAGAGTAAATGCACATGGGTGTCTACAGCTTGTCAAATTCTTTTACTTTGCTCAGCATTTGTATTCATTTGTTTGTTGTTGTTCCTTTTTTCCTTCTCATCAGTGGAATGTATTGACATCCTCTTTAGGAAACGATTTTGTTTGCAAGCGTCCATCTGAAACACGATAGTTAACATATTTCGATGCTATGCATGCTTATGCTTATGCATGTTTCGATAACATAAAACGCTCTGGTTCTCTGTCTGCGGACAACGAACAGCTAGTGAATGCAAGGAAAGTAGCAGAGAGTTTCAGCAGCAACAACACAATGGAAACCTGGAATCAATATTTTGTTTAACTTTTTGTAAAATGGCGTGCTAGAAAGAAAGAATAAAACAATGTCCTCTTGTCATCGGATGTGAACATCCTTGTTGTCACGTCAACAGCTAATGAGTTGAGTGCATGGTGTGACACTGTGAGCTGCGGATATGGGACAGTTATAGACATTATGTGTGGTATTCACTGACACAGAAACAGCAAATATAGAAGACCAGTTTGCTATGAAGTTGAAAATACGATTAACTGATTCTCGAGTCTTTAAAAAACCTTTCTCCAGGAAACCATGGACAAATTGTGTGAATATGATTGAAAAGCTAGGGATTTGTTTCCCCATACAGATTACAGTTATGGGAAACAACCCGGACCGACAACGAAGTCTGTGTCTTAGTAGATATGACGGATCAGCAGAACTGCCAGAACAGCTACTTCTCAGTAAAACCGAATGTTTGACTAGACTTCTCGAGTCTTGCTGTGTGGATCTGACTCCCAATTCTAGAAACGTTAGCAGCGACATGGAGGTGTTGCTCCTAAAACTTCACATCGTCCTTTATAAGAGCATTAACAGTATCGATGCAGAGTAGACCAGTCTACGGTTTTTTTTGGGGGGGGGGTGGGGTAAATAACACCATGATAAAGGTATCTAGGCATTGCTGTGTGACTGACAGAATCACTCAGTGCACGTTCTCTGGAACATTCCTGTGACTGCAATGATATGAAGGCACGTGCCACTGCCATTACCTCCTGGTCATGTTGCTAGTGAACATGAGGGGTCCCATCAAAAACCCCGTTACTGCCCATGTTGCTAGTGAACATGAGGGGTCCCATCAAAAACCCCGTTACTGCCCATGTTGCTAGTGAACATGAGGGGTCCCATCAAAAACCCCGTTACTGCCCATGTTGCTAGTGAACATGAGGGGTCCCATCCAAAACCCCGTTACTGCCCATGTTGCTAGTGAACATGAGGGGTCCCATCAAAAACCCCGTTACTGCCCATGTTGCTAGTGAACATGAGGGGTCCCATCAAAAACCCCGTTACTGCCCATGTTGCTAGTGAACATGAGGGGTCCCATTAAAAACCCCGTTACTGCCCATGTTGCTAGTGAACATGAGAGGTCCCATCAAAAACCCCGTTACTGCCCATGTTGTTGTGTAAGTGTTCTGGGCTACGTGGGCTACCTTTTGGACAACAGAGAATAGACACACAATCAACTAACAAGCGTGTCGTAGGAGGCGAGATAGTCGAGGCGCGGGTGCCTGAGGCTGAGAAACCAACAGTCGGTATACATTTAAGAAAGATCTGTAAAAGTGATGTGCACGCAAAACCTAAGTTCTGGATCAAGACTAAAGTCCAGGAGTGGACGAACAACCAGAACTTTCCTCCGAAGTTAACAGCCGGTGAAAGCTAAAAAGAATGTCGAAGTATAAGACAGGGGTCGGGGGGGGGGGGGGGGGGGGGGGCTGAGGTAATTTGCAGGCTTAGAATTTAAGGTCGGATGATTGGTGCAGTAGGGCTAAACTTTAAATATTAGGAATTAATTTTTGCTTTCCTATAGAAAAATGCCCTTTAACTTACCAAGGATTCGAACCCAGGTCTCTCGAATGTGAATTCAGTAACCGCTTTATGAGACGCTTGTCAAAGATCAGACTACAAAAACATATCTACAGCAATTAACTATTCAGGTGTACTTTAGATGAGTCCACTTATTGTCCGATATATTTCTTTGTATTTCCTTGGTGGGGACACATTCGTCACATCTCGGCACGTTCGTATTATAGAGAAAAACAAGGTGGAGAAAGTAAGTAAATATCTAATAAAATAACTAACATACACAAACGCGCGCGCGCACACACGTACAAATACACGTGCACGCTAAAATGCAATTGAAGTAAGCAAAACAAGGGAAATCACTAATTAAAATCTTCTTTTTCTTCTTCTTCTTCTTCTTCTTCTTCTTCTTCTTCTTCTTCTTCTTCTTCTTCTTCTTCTTCTTCTTCTTCTTCTTCTTCTTCTTCTTCTTCTTCTTCTTCGTCTTCTTCTTCTTCTTCTTCTTCTTCTTCTTCTTCTTCTTCTTCTTCTTCTTCTTCTTTCCACCAGTTACCTCATCGATGTGTTTAAGGAGGGTGGGGTGGTGTTCATTCTTTGTGAGGTTGCTCCTGTTGATGTGGCTGGATGTCTCGCGTGGTCTTCCCCTTGCGCTGTGTTCATTGCATTTTTTGGCGTTACTCTCTGTGGCAGTTGGTACCAGGCCATTCTCGTCAGGTAACCAAACCTTCCAATTTGTTGTTCTTTAATGAACTGTATGACTGGTTTCAGTCCAAGTCTTCTTCTAATTTCTTAGTTCTTGATTTGATCTCTTCTTGTCACACCGGCAGCTCTTTTAAAACATCTCATCTCTCTTGTTACGATCTTACGCTCATTAATTGCAGTAAGGGTCCATGTATGGCACTGGTAGCACTATGTCGACCCCAAAAAAAAAAAAACCCATTCTTAATAATTAAAAGTAATGTCAGAATGAAATGAACTCAATTACTACAGTTTGGCCAATTCTTTGAATTGTAATAGCTAGTGCAAACAGGAACATATAAATGCATACAACCGTTAGTTTAGCTTAGCTTAACCAGAAACCTTGCTGTCTATATCCTCTGGCCTTGTTTTGTTTCGTCTTTTTACCGCAAGAAAACACTGCAAACATTATCACAATTAGAACACATATTTTCAGCGACATTTTTCTGGATTGACAGTTGCTAGTAGAGAAGTTAATCACTAAGTGCTCTCTCCAACACAGCCGTTAAATTTTAGGTGACTGTAGAATTAAGAAATGTGTGGGCATTTTTTAAAATAATTATCGTTATCTCTGACATATTTCCAAAATCTCACGGTTTGAACCAGCAAATAGATAAAACACAATAAGCAGGCGTACATGAAGTCAATTATGCCCGGAACAAGAATCAACAATTAAACTAGGAAATGAAGTTGGCTTGTATGAACAGATAAAGCTTCGAAAACGACGTGATCTGGTCAGTCTTGAATGGTCTCTCGCAGAAGTCAAGCCGTTTTGAAATGTCCTGCTTCGTTCCTACATTTGCTGGACTGGCAGGCATGCATCACCATACTGGAGCTTTATTCGTAGATGAATTTCTATAGCTTTCACCCCTTATTCTCATCTTATCTTGATCCTCTGATATCTTGCGGTGTCGTGAAGTATAATTTACGGGAAAGAGTCCGTATGTGTGCTGCACAAAAGGAGATTCCCAGGGACTCTGTAATTCCCTCTGTCCATCGCTTGCATTGTTGGCCTCTTCTTCGGTTCCCACATGGTGTGTACATCATTTGCTTGCTGTAGTATACAGTCTGCTGCAATCCGTGTTACATGGCCAAACCATTTCACCTGTTGTCTTCTAATGAAATCCAGAGCTGCTGTTACCTTCCTCTGCATTCCGGATGCATCTTTTCTAATCTGATCTTTTCTTGTCTTGTTGACAGCCCTTCGCATGAATTCTAATAATACTTAATCTTTTCTCTTTTTATGTCACTGTCCCGGCCTACCATTGATAACGCGGGATTGGCAAAAGGATTGTGTCATAGAGTGCTCTTTTGGTTTTTACTGGCACGTGTTTGTTTCTTAGTTTTGTTGCCATTTGCCCTGTGAGTTGGTATGATTAGTTACATCTGTCAACAATCTCATCGTCTGTTTTGCCAGCTGATGACATTATACTTCCTAAGTATTTAAAGTTCTTGGTTTCTTTCAGAGGGTGTTCTGTAAGCTAGATAGTTTTTGTTTTGTCTGCTTGGTCTGTTGTCATGACCTCTGTTTTGTTGGCGTTAAATTGTCATGCTAAGTTCTTTGCAAATATGGTTTACATGATTTATATGGTCTTGCAGTTCAGTTTCTGAAGTAGCATTTAGTGCTGAGGTAAATGGTGGAAGAGTTCCGGTTCCGGTTTCAAGATGGAGGGATGTTTTCCTTCAAGCTTGTCTCCAGTCCGTTGATCGGTAGCCTAACAAGCCGCCATCGTAAAACATCCACTGTTACAGAAACAGATTTCTGGCTTTAAACGTCATGTCGTTTCGTTCTAATTTATCTTGACTTTGCTGACGACCTAGCACTCCTGAGCACAACACATCTAGAAGCTCAGGAAAAAAATGGACCGCCTCCAGGAATATCAAGCCAAATCGGCCTTAGGTCAGGTCCCGCAGCCAAAACGAAAATCATCGATCTTACCAACGAGTCGAAAAGACATCAAACTAAAGGATATTTTTCTTGAAAAAAATCACCAGCTTCACATACTTAGTTAGCAAGATAACCTCTGCGGGAGATACAACATCAGGAAATAACGACTCGAATCGCGTTAGCATCAAGTGCCTTTAACAAAACTGTCAAACATTTGGAAGTCAAGATCACTCAGCAACGACACGAAACTTAAGGTCTTCAATCCTGTGTGATCCCAGTGCTAAATTATGGTTGTGAGAGTTGGAAATCATCAGTATCAATCGATAAGAAACTAGTCGCTTCGAGAATAGATGCCTCCGAAAGCTATTGAATGTTCACTGGTCGGACTCTTTAGGTCCAATACATCTATAAGACAGGAAACAAAACAAAAATATGTGTCTGATTTTATTAGAATGCGTCGCTGGAATTACATCTGTCACGTACTCAGAATGGACATACAGAGACTTCCCCACCAAGCCTTCATATGGTCACCAGAGGGTAAAAAGAAAACAGGGAAGACCAAAAGAAACTCTCCGTAGAACCATCCATCACAAGGGAGAGCTCAACCATAGGTCTCAGTCGCACTCAAGACCTACATCAAGTGGCAACGAACCGACAGACGTGGAAAGCTATGACCTCTGCCCTATGCGCCATCTTTGGCACAAGAGGAATAACTAACTAACTAACTAAATGGTGGAAGAAAAGAATAATAATAATAATAATAATAATAAGAAGAAGAAAATGAAGAAGAAGAAGAAGAAGAAGAAGAAGAAGAAGAAGAAGAAGAAGAAGAAGAAGAAGAAGAAGAAGAAGAAGAAGAAGCAGAAGATTTCAATATTGATTTCCCTCGTTTTGCTTACTTCCATTACATTTTAGTGTGTGCGTGTGTTTGTACGTGTGTGTATGTGTGTTTGCGCGCGCTTGTTTGTGTATGTTAGTTATTCTATTTGGCAGATAGTAGTTCTTTGATGAAACTGTTTCGGCTTTGGATCTTCTTCTCCTTGGTGTATTACAGTCTTTACCCCTTCACTTATGAAAAAAAAAAAAAAAAACATCGGATAATAAAAAGCCGCTATTCTTCGTTGCATGTCAAAAGTGGGGTGGCCATCTTTAAACGGTAATTACGAGTTCACTTTGTTCGTCTGCACTAATGATGTCACGTGCTTAACATTTTTGATATCCTTATCAACAATATTGACAGGTTACAAAACAATAGCAACGTTACTGAAATTTCTTTGAAACTTCACAGCTTTTTTGATATCGGATTGTTGTAACAGAAAGTGTTCATTCAAAAATTAAAATTAAAAAAAAAAAAAAAAAACCACTTGCCTTGAATACGAAAAAAGCAGAAGCACTGTTTTATAAAAGTAAAAGATAACATCAAAATGTGAATACGTTGTTATATTCAAGTATATAAGAAATTCAAACATTAACTTGAAGATGTCTGCAGCAGATTGAGAGGACTGTCCAAGCGAAAACCGTGTTTCGGAAGTTGTAAAGCTCGGGTTTTTTCAACGATAGAGTACTGAAATATTATGTCGAAGCTAATCTGATATATACAATAGCTTTTAGTTTAAAGCCAATCCCGTGTGGGTTCCGCGGCCTCATAGTGGGAAAACAAGAATAGACCCACTGCCTCCCAAACAAGCATGTCGTAAGAGTCGACTAACTGGGGATTTCCTTCGAAGTCGAAGTGCATCTCCCTGAG